GTCACGGAGTTTTGTGTTACTTTTCGCGCGTGACATTTTTTGACCTTAGATGTAGCCGATCACGTTTCGAACACGTGATCATGTGACACTTTGAACGGAGTAGTTTTTCGATTTAGAGAATTGTAATTTTGTTGAAGGCACGTGTATCGGTTTAGAAGCCCGTTACTTTTGTGGAACCCTATCGTTTTTGGCAAGTGTATCGGAATAGAAGCCCGTTACTGTTACAGATCTATTGGTTTCGAATAAAATCTAGCACAACCATAAAGCCTTATCGTTCATGGTTTACGGTTTTCAATCAGGTATATTACTTCCGCACGTTTGGAATGTAATAAGCAGAGGAAAAAAAAAGAGAGATATTCATATACATAATGATATACATTGGTGGTGCCAAAAGAGTCACTTGACAAGTTGTCTGTGATCAATGATTCAAGTTAATAGGCTACAATGTGCGAAGTAATTTACGTAAGCACTTATTTTGGTCATCCTTTAATAGTAAACATTTTCCCTTGCACCTCTTTCAGGTGCTCAAATGAACCCCGCCTTGACACTGGCTTTTGCGGCCGCTAAGAGATTGCCATGGAAGAAAGTTCCCGTATATTGGACGGCGCAGGTACTAGGGGCGTTTGTGGCTTCAGCGTGTGTTTATGGCGTATATTACGGTGAGCGCAAGGGAATAATTTGATGGATTGACTGTTATTATCTTAGTTCCACATTTGTTCCATTTGACGGCATATTTAGTAATGTTTTTTTTTTCTTAAATTTCTTAATTATATTTTATTTCCTGTATCTAAACTTAACAGATGCCTTGAATAAATTTGATGGTGGTGTTCGTCAGGTACTTGGTCCAAAAGGCACGGCAGGGATCTGGGCGACTTATCCTCAGCCCTTCTTATCAACAGGAAATGGCTTCGGTGATCAGGTAAATACGAGAGACGAAACAGGGGCAGCTGAAAAGTATGAAAAGGCGAATCCTTGCTGACGTCAATGTTTACATTTTTGCTCATTAGCATAGGAATTAACCCATAGAAGGCGTCGCCGTATGTACAAGCTAGGTTCAAAAGATGAAAGAGCTGGTTAATAATTTGAGCAGTATATGCAATTTGCATCTCTTTGCAACTAGTAACAAAGGAAATAGCAGCAATCAAAAACTGTGAAATTTCTAAGCAGCAAAAACAGCTCATACATGCTCAGTTAGTTTGGGGTTTTTCCAAGAGAATCTATTAAGGGGTGTTATCCATTTAAATGGGCAAATGGGTTGGTTCGCGTTGTGGGCAAATGGTAAGCAATTCATCAGTGGTTAATTTTGTCCCGGATCGCGTTTACCATTTGTACAAATCAGTTTCATTTACCGAAAAACGGCCGCGAAGGCGTGGAACTGGTGTCAAAGATGGCTTGGTTTGAAATATTTCATCCGAAAAAAAACAAACAAACAAACAAACAAGACAACCTTTTCAGATGTTCCGTTGCTCCCGGAAATTTTCCGTAAGAACGAGCCAAAAAGTCGTTTTCCATTTACTTTCCAAACGGATTTTCCAGAAACTAGTAGGATTCCCCTTCAGATTGTTTTCACTCGCGTGCTTTGCAGCCATGCAAATTTCTTGGAACAAAAGAATTATTTTTCTTTACATTAGAAGTCCCCACAGTTTTCTGCACAGTAATGGACTGTTTACATGGAGGTGGGGGGCCCCAGGTAGACGAGGTAACCCGCTTAGGTGGGGTAACCCGCCTGTCCATGTAACCTCTCATTTCAGTAGCCTGTTGAGCACGTTTACATGATAGGTGGGGTGACCCGTCACATTTTACCTCACTCAAATGAGGTCCCCCACCTCCATGTAAACAGGCCCTAACATGGCCACCGTTTCATTGTTTTGTACAGCATTATGGCCGCCGTGACGTCATGCAAAAAGGTCTGAACAGTTCTTTCCTTAGCATATACCGCTGTATTAACGATTTTGAGTCAGCTTTAAAATAAAACTTTCCTATCACATTTATTCCCATTTTGTCATAAAAATGTGCCACTTACTCGCACTGTTCATTAGGTCCTTGGTACCGCGCTGTTTGTGGGCTGTGTCTTCGCCATCACCGACAAAAAAAATAATGCTCCCGACAAAGGAGTAGCACCTTTTATTATCGGACTGTTGGTATTCGTCATCGGCACAACATTTGGATTCAATTGCGGTTATGCAATTAATCCTGCTAGGGATCTGGGACCAAGGATATTCACTGCCATGGCAGGATGGGGCGGCGAAGTGTTCACGTGAGTAAATGGAGCATTGCTGTAAGTTTTGTCGTTGTCGTCGTCGTAATTGTTGTTGGAGTGATCAACGTCGTATGGGTTTACTTTTGTCTTGACCATCTACTCGGCTATTTCGCTATTACAAGAAGAGAGAAACCTGCTAATCCGGAATTCTTTATTTATGAACAATAGATGCCTTTGGCCCTGTTCGCCCTACGACAAAAATAGCCGGTTTGGCGCGTACAAAAAATTTGAAAATTGTTTACAAAGTTTTCGTCAAACCAGAAACGTCAATTAAAGGAACTTTGATTGGCCATGTAGGCCTCCAAACTATCTCGACAGCGTCTTTGAAGTTTGGTGACACTTTGTTATGTGAAAAGAAAATCTTTCGCACTAGAAATGGCTTCCTGTTGACAGATTTTGTTTTGCAAAACAAACAAAATTTTGAGTAGTGCGAACAGGGCCTTTCCCATGAAATAATAGAAACTATCACGTGCTTTCGAGTCTTTGGAATAGCATAGATGCTTAACTTAACTTGTTAGAAAAAGAGACAATGCAGAGAAAAGTAAGAAAACTCAACTATCAATTTCATGGGGTAGCATGTTTCTGGTCCTCAGTCTGAGCACGCCATCTGCGCAAAATTATTGTCGGATAGTAAACCTTGCTCCTGAAAAATCGAAGATAATGATGCTTAACTAACCCAAATTCGTACTCTCCAGAAGACTCCCAAGAGAGATGAGTCCCTCTTTAACGTAGTTTCAACTTTAAAAAAATTTCATTGGTTTTAACGGTTCGAATTAATATTTCAGATCTTTGCTGTGGGGTCAGGGGCTCAGATGATTCTAAGCGACTGGAGGTTTGGAAATTTCTTCTCTGTTAACCTCGGTGGGGGCATGGGTGTAACGATGGGATGCTACTGGGCGTGGGGAATCTCAGGTATGCAAATACATTTGTACTTAGCAAACACTCTATCGATCAGAAAAGCCTGGACAAACATGTGTGCGGGAAATATGATTAATAGCCAGTATCTCTGGCTTGAACAACAAAACTGAATTGGATGAATTTTTTTTTATTTGGAGAATGGAAATATTGAGGTCTTCGGATCATAGTACTGTAGTTATCTGCCAGTGGGCAACCGAGCTCGATACAGGTTCATCGAGCTCAACATGTCAACCAAGCTCAATAAACAATGTACCTCGGGAAAACGTACCTGATATGTCGATATGTTGTAACCAAGCTTGAATCCATTCTTACTCGGTCTCCATTGACTGTGCTCGACAAGTAATGGAGCTCGTAAGTCGAGTACGTGGATCATATTAGTTATCAGGGAAAAACCACACCGAGAAACCAGTGAGGGTCAGCCAGATCCTTAGTAGACCTGGATAAGTAAAACCTTCAACACCAAATTTAAAATTGAAACAGTAAACTGATCCTTACGGCAGGAAGCTTGATGGAAAAAATAAAAATAGGCGCCGTTTAAGGACCGAAATAAAGGGCAAATAAAATTCACCAGTTTAGTTTTGTTTTCTTTGTCTTTTTGTACCACTCCTCCAGCCATAAGTATCAGTTTGCTATTTTAAGTTTAAAATTTGGCGAATCAGATACATTGCACAGTCAAATAAATTTGCGTTTCTGATAGAGAATCATCATATATGAATCGTTTTTACTCACTTGATCAGCATCTATGAAAATTTTTTCGAAACAAGAAGATTAAGTTTTTACATGCAAAAAGAGGACAATCCACACAGGGTTTTCTTTGCACACTAAAATGGCCGCCGTTTCATTGTTTTCTACATGAAAAAGGCTGTCGTGATGTCATGTGAAAAATGATCTAATAGTGTATACACCTGATTTAAAAAACGTTGTCTCTTGAAAAGAATAAACCATGGACGATGGGACCTCATAGATTCATGGGCAGAACTTTATAAGAGTTGTAAATTTAAAAGTTCTTTCCAGAAAAGTCTATATTATCGAAGCTATTCGCGACGAGATGCTCACATCTTCACCTGTGCGGGGCACATCAGAGATTTCTATTGTTAATGAGCGTAGCCATATCGCTAACGCACACTTGAAAATCAAAAGATAAGACATAAAAAGACCACTGCATGCCTTAATAATCAAGGGTTTGGATCTGCACCGAGCAGCTCGTAACAATGTTAACTTTCGCTGAAAGAACTTTGAATTTGCTTTGCTAATGAACGTATAACCATAAAGCCTTATCGTTCATGGTTTACGGTTTTCAATCAGGTATATTACTTCCGCACGTTTGGAATGTAATAAGCAGAGGAAAAAATAAGAGAGATATTCATATACATAATGATATACATTGGTGGTGCCAAAAGAGTCACTTGACAAGTTGTCTGTGATCAATGATTCAAGTTAATAGGCTACAATGTGCGAAGTAATGTACGTAAGCACTTATTTTGGTCATCCTTTAATAGTAAACATTTTCCCTTGCACCTCTTTCAGGTGCTCAAATGAACCCCGCCTTGACACTGGCTTTTGCGGCCGCTAAGAGATTGCCATGGAAGAAAGTTCCCGTATATTGGACGGCGCAGGTACTAGGGGCGTTTGTGGCTTCAGCGTGTGTTTATGGCGTATATTACGGTGAGCGCAAGGGAATAATTTGATGGATTGACTGTTATTATCTTAGTTCCACATTTGTTCCATTTGTCGGCATATTTAGTAATGTTTTTTTTTTTCTTAAATTTCTTAATTATATTTTATTTCCTGTATCTAAACTTAACAGATGCCTTGAATAAATTTGATGGTGGTGTTCGTCAGGTACTTGGTCCAAAAGGCACGGCAGGGATCTGGGCGACTTATCCTCAGCCCTTCTTATCAACAGGAAATGGCTTCGGTGATCAGGTAAATACGAGAGACGAAACAGGGGCAGCTGAAAAGTATGAAAAGGCGAATCCTTGCTGACGTCAATGTTTACATTTTTGCTCATTAGCATAGGAATTAACCCATAGAAGGCGTCGCCGTATGTACAAGCTAGGTTCAAAAGATGAAAGAGCTGGTTAATAATTTGAGCAGTATATGCAATTTGCATCTCTTTGCAACTAGTAACAAAGGAAATAGCAGCAATCAAAAACTGTGAAATTTCTGGGCAGCAAAAACAGCTCATACATGCTTAGTTAGTTTGGGGTTTTTCCAAGAGAATCTATTAAGGGGTGTTATCCATTTAAATGGGAAAATGGATTGGTTCGCGGTGTGGGCAAATGGTAAGCAATTCATCAGTGGTTAATTTTGTCCCGGATCGCGTTTACCATTTGTACAAATCAGTTTCATTTACCGAAAAACGGTCGCGAAGGCATGGAACTGGTGTCAAAGATGGCTTGGTTTGAAATAGTTCATCCGAAAAAAAAAAAACAAACAAACAAACAAGACAACCTTTTCAGATGTTCCGTTGCTCCCGGAAATTTTCCGTAAGAACGAGCCAAAAAGTCGTTTTCCATTTACTTTCCAAACGGATTTTCCAGAAACTAGTAGGATTCCCCTTCAGATTGTTTTCACTCGCGTGCTTTGCAGCCATGCAAATTTCTTGGAACAAAAGAATTATTTTTCTTTACATTAGAAGTCCCCACAGTTTTCTGCACAGTAATGGACTGTTTACATGGAGGTGGGGGGCCCCAGGTAGACGAGGTAACCCGCTTAGGTGGGGTAACCCGCCTGTCCATGTAACCTCTCATTTCAGTAGCCTGTTGAGCACGTTTACATGATAGGTGGGGTGACCCGTCACATTTTACCTCACTCAAATGAGGTCCCCCACCTCCATGTAAACAGGCCCTAACATGGCCACCGTTTCATTGTTTTGTACAGCATTATGGCCGCCGTGACGTCATGCAAAAAGGTCTGAACAGTTCTTTCCTTAGCATATACCGCTGTATTAACGATTTTGAGTCAGCTTTAAAATAAAACTTTCCTATCACATTTATTCCCATTTTGTCATAAAAATGTGCCACTTACTCGCACTGTTCATTAGGTCCTTGGTACCGCGCTGTTTGTGGGCTGTGTCTTCGCCATCACCGACAAAAAAAATAATGCTCCCGACAAAGGAGTAGCACCTTTTATTATCGGACTGTTGGTATTCGTCATCGGCACAACATTTGGATTCAATTGCGGTTATGCAATTAATCCTGCTAGGGATCTGGGACCAAGGATATTCACTGCCATGGCAGGATGGGGCGGCGAAGTGTTCACGTGAGTAAATGGAGCATTAGTTTCTGAACAGTATTAAATTTTCATGACTTGTTTATCCAGCAAAACATAAAACATAATTGGCAACGACGAAAACAAAACAGAATAATAATAATAATAGAGACCTTTAGCATCAGGTAAACCGCAAACCTCAAACCGCAAACCGCAGTTACGCGTTAGCAGTTTCGCGTTGCCGAGATTTCAAACTTTAGCAAGGCGTTTAGTTCGATTTGTTCAGTTCAGTTCAGTTCACTTTTATTTAGCCAAAATACAATACAATACAAGAATACATATAGGAATTGTAAGGTTGCAAGGGAGCCCAGAAGAAACCAGAAGGCTTTATGAAGCCTGAGCTCCCCAGTCTAAAAGAAATAAGCAAAATAAAATGATATTCGCGGAGTGATACGTTAAAAATAGGAACCAAACAGAGACTGAGTTAAGTTATGAATTTAGTAACAAGATAGAAAAAAAATTTAACTCTGGATTGGAACAGAATACTTTCCATTGTTAGTACTGCAGAAAGGAATATAAAATTGATTTGAACTACGCGTTCATTGTTTAGGGCCGCCATGTTGTTTTCATCAAGTCGAAGTGCATCACTTTAATCGCCCAAAAATCAGCAATAATTCATTGATTCGAGATCAAAAATCCAACAAACACATCGCAAACGGATACAAAAAGCTAGTTCATACCTTTAAACGCGAGGCTGTACAATTTTTTCTGGCAAAAAACCTTGCCGTAAATCACTTACCGCTGGAAGCCCTTCCTGCGGTTCAAACGTGAACTGCAAACTGCAAACGTGACCGCAAGGCCGTGGTCACGTGACATTTTGCGGTTTGCGGTTTGCCGTTTCCCACGAAAAACCTGATGCTAAAGGTCCCTAATAATAAAAAAGTACAAAAACAACAACTACAACAAATTATTATTATTTTTTTTTACAACAGAATAATGATGTAATGAGTTATGAGTGGGGAGTAAAGAAACTGGGATAAGGTGGAGCCCCCGCCCCCCGTTTTTTCCCCTTTCTCTCTTTTAGTCACCACGCACGTTTTCACTTCTTTTTGCCTTATCCTCTTCCATCCCTACCCTTGTCAACTAGAGAGCCTGATCACAGGCAACCGAAGGTAACCTGCCTGGACAAAATGGAACTAGAGCCTAAAACCTCGTTAACCTAAATTCACAGGGCAAGCAATAACTGGTTTTGGGTTCCAATCTTTGCATGTTTCCTTGGCGGTGTCCTCGGTGCCTTGATCTATGTTTTCTTCATTGAAATGCACCACGATTTGGAGGAAGGAGAGGAGACCAAGCCGATGGAACTCGAGAGCATCATTACTAGTGAGTAAAGACACTGCAGACGACAAGGAAAAGTTTCCAAGTCTGTTGGACAGATCCGGACAGGGAGACCTGACGAAGATATAACCTTGCATCATATTTGTCTTCTATTGATTTTAACTATAGATCGTCTATAGTCATGTATACTTTTTTGATTCCATGGCAAGTCAAAGCCATTATAAAATATATACTGTTTATAAAATATCTGCACTTTTATTTGACATAATAGTGCAAAAGACGGTGCAGACTTCTGAGTTTTGCTGACAGCATTAGACAAATCAACTTTCGCAATCCCACAACTATAAAAGAAAACTTAAAATGCTACGGAGATTATTCGGTTAACCTTTCAGGTTAGATCTGTTTTGCATTAATGTTGCATTGAGTTTAGCTAGTCCTAGCTAGAACCAGCGCCAGGCTTGTCACTGGATCTGAGTGGCGGCAGTCAATTATTATGTATGTCATACCTATTTTCGGCGTTATTAGAAATATGATTTATGTCTCTAATATTATATTTTGCAATTTTCCGTTTCTAAACTTAAAAGCCTCTTGTTACGTAACTTACAAAAATATAACTGTAAACAATTAAGAAAATAATTAAAAGCTTGTTTTAAAAATTTTGTTCACATGCAGTAATGAACTTTCTTGATGGAATTTTGTTAAAAAACTTGCAACATATTCTCAATAAAAAAATAAACAAAAACAACAACAACAAAAGCATAAACCAAAGCAAAAAAAGCAAAGCAAAAAAACTTTTTATTTGACCTTTTCTATACTGACATACAACCCACAAAGTATATGATAGAATATCTTACATACTGTTTATAACATTACTGTGTAAACAATCAGCAAAACAAGAAATAAAGACCTAGTTAGACTAGACATTTTTCTTGCAGTTTGTCACGCACAAATGAATTAAGGCAATGTGATACAGGTTGCTCAGTCGAGACTACTTCCTCATTTAACGCTCCCTGTAAGAGAGAAAAGGTGGGGCACCACTCCAAGAGGTAGGAGGTCTACTCATCGAGACCCTAAGATAAGAGTGGGCCAGGCTCAATTTTTCCTTTTGCTTTAGGCTTTAAAGTTTATACAGTCGACCCCCGAAAACTCGAACCTTCCAGGGAAATCGGAAAAAGTTCGACTTATCAGGAATTCGAAGCAAATAACTAGAAATAAATAAATAGAATGAGGGAGGATTGCAAGTATCATGCACACCTCACTTCCACGGCAGCAAGGAATGTATCGATATTTTGAAAAAAGAATATTTAGCAAATGAGCTTGATGAATCAGTACAGGGCTAAAGACAAAAAAGTAGGGACAAAGGATACACAATTGTTTTGAAAGAAGTTCAATGTAGTTTACTGCTTATTTTTCCGACGTGTCACTTGCTTAAAAATGGTTCCGAGGAATCGATGGTAACTTACAATAAAGAAATGATCTGTGGGGAAAGGAAAATAGCTTCGAGTTTGCGGGATTTTAGAGTAATTGAGGGTTCGACTGGATTTGCCTAGAGGGTAAAAAGTATGAAGGAAATCCAGAGGGGAAAATCGATTTTGTTCGAGTTAGCAGGGGCTCAAGTTACCGGGAGGTTCGAGTTAGCAGGGAGTCGAGTTGGCGGATGTTCGAGTTAGCAGGGGGTCGAGTTAGCGGGCGGTTCGAGTTAGCAGGGATAGAGTCGACTGTAATTCCAAAGGCCAGTGAAGGGCCAGGGATAAGGTCAGTGGATCGAATTGATTCCTAATTTGTGGGGAGTAAATACAAGGAGTAAAATAACAAAAATTTCTGCTCGTTCCAGGTCTGATTGCATATTTTCATTTTAATTTATGTGTTACTAATTGTTTCCCTAAAATCGCCTACCGCCTTCGCCAAGAAGTCAATCAGATACAGTATGTTGCCCAGTATCCGGACACTTCAGTTTAAAATTGCAATAACTTTCCTTTGTTAATCGCAAGAGCTCTGAAATTTGGCCCAGAGAATATCTATCTAGTCCTTAATATGACGAAAGACAGTTTAACTTTTTTGCCTTTGTTTCCATCGCGAAATTAATATTTTTGCAGAGCTCCTATGTTGCCCAGTATCCGGACAGCTGGCCCAGTACCCGGACACAACAATAATAACGTAATTGTACATAAATTTCGACAGGCAAGCGACTTATAAGCTTCTCTTGCACTTGCAAAGTAGTCTGGCAATCGATTCCGAAATTATAACCTAGCATCGTGAAATAAAACATAACAAATGACTGGGGTATGGTGGGGAACGCGAGCGGCTGTTTTAAAAATGGTATAATTTCTCACTTCTTTGTCTAGGAACTTTTCCACTGATTTAAGGAAGGCATCCGTGGACATGCCGA